CCGTCGTTTGGGCTTTTTATTCATTCGATCAGCTATACCGTTAAGCGGCCTTTGTACGCAGCAAGTTTTTTTTTAAAAAATGTTTTAGGTTTTTAGGTCTTGCGCTGACTGATCAATTATCCCACCTGGTTAAACAGAATGTGATCCTTAAAATGGCAGAAGTTAAAACGGACTCTTCGGTTAATTCGGACATCAGTCGGCTTTTCCGCTCTTTTACTTAAATTGAAAACTTATGTATCGTCACGCCAAAAACATTGGATTGCTTCGTGTGTTTTTTCTTGACCTAATTTTAACCATCGAAGAAACAAATGTATGCCATTTGAAGTTCCTTCAAGTCGAGTTCAAGCTGCATTGAAAATGGTCTGCCAGTGTCGAGACAAACAGATTTGAGATTCTTTCAGATTCTTCATTACTAGCATATTTTTATTTGCAAATCTTAATGCTAAAACGCTGTTCAATTGACTAGCTGTATTAAAAATGCCAATCAGCAATGGGAAATTTCATGAAATGTATTAACGCTATTGAAGTAACGAAAATAACACAAGACTATAAACTAGTTCTTGAAGATGAAATCCTCCTTCATAAAATGTGATCGGAACCGTCTGCGCAGTTTGCACAGCAACCGATACTAACTTTTATTCAAAATTGACTTGCTAGCTCGAATATATGTAACATTCAAGTTAAGCTAAGTGTCGCTCATATTTATGAAACAGTAAATAGCACCCTTATGAAGTTGATTGATAAAAGCTCATTTAATTACTTTTTTTATTACCCTTTTACGAACGTTTCGTGGTATTTCTTTGTAGTATTTATTTGTTTTTTTTTGGTGATGTAGTTGGTGGAGACTAGTCAATTGATTTATCATAGCTTATTCGTGAGTTTATTTTTGTTACGAATTGAGTTTCAAAATAATTTCATTTTTTGCAAAAGGTTTTTGTTATATTTGGATCTTGTCTGCTGAAGTTAAATACTGCAAAAGAAGAAAAGTCGTTACAGAGGTACGAATTTCGCACGCAGTTAACATTTGAATTGCCTCTTTATATGGGTGAAAGTTGTGAACTAGGTACTATAGGGGGAGGGGGGATGGGAGGTAGTTAACCAGAACCCTTGACGCCTTTTGCTCTTATATTAAAATAATTTCGCGCTGACCAATTTTACAAACCATTCAATTTCCTGTAAAAGTTGAACTTTCCCAGAAAATTATGAAAACATCCAGCTTTGAGCACTCTTAAGGTTCACAGTTTCATTCCCATTTATGGCTTGCCGTGGATATTTGCCAGTAACCTATACCAGTAATAGGTATATGCCAGGAATAGCTGCCATAGTAACAGGTATATAGTAGGTTCAAAGCAAAATTTTTACACAAGTTTAAAGTGATTAAACAAGACAGAGTATCAATGTCTTGAACTTGACCTCTAAAATGTTTGGACAAGATTTAGTGTGTGAACCTCTCAAGTTTGATAAGCTTGTTTGATATCCAATTGCTAATAATCACAAATGATTCATAACCTAAATACTTCAGCCGGTATTGATTTTTGGTATACTAGACCTTCAATTGAATAATTTAGTTTTATATTTTAGATCTTCGGAAAACCTTGGATCACTTTTATCGAAACTTCATCATCAAATCAGCACAATCATTTGTAGCAAATCTTTGCTTTTCAAAGCTACTTCTTCAAAAATATCATTGAGATATTTATAACTTTGATTTACAACATAGTCATAACTAATTAGTTATTAAAAATGGATGCTGTAACTGGTGCATTAAACAAGGACTGGGAAAATGGACTCTGCAGTTGCTTCGGGGACTTCAAAGTGTGCATCATAACGATGCTGCTGCCTTGCTACACGGCGGGCAAGATAGGCGACAAGGTGCCAGGACTGTCCTGCATCACAGCCGGACTTCTCTTTCTCATTCCAGTGGTCAACTTGATCATAGCGTTTAAACTTAGAAGTGGGGTGAGTTTGAATTAGGCCTAATCAATCTAGTTCTTTTCTGTAATACGTATACGGCAACCTAAAATTGATCTTTTTCTTATTTAGAGAATATAATCATCTGAAAAAATAGAAGTTTGGTACCCCAAAACGAACAAAAATCTTAATTTTTAATAAAAACAGAAGCTCATTTAACAGTTCGGTTAACTTTGGGCCGTATAACAGAAAAGACCCATCAATCTTACAAATTATCTGGTACGCTATTCGATCGGCCTAATTTCTACAATATATGTTTTTAATTTGATTTCAATAATTATTACTATAACTGAAAGTTCAGTAATTTGTTAATTTACCAAGTCTGATTTTGAATAATTTTATTTAATTTTTTGCTCAATTGTTTTTGATTAAACAATTTCGGTTTATGATATATCGGTTTAGTCAAATTACATCGCTTAATTTTGAGGGCAAAAGTATCCTTAAGTCATTATGTATTTCAGTCGGGGTGGGTCGTAAAAAATTTTACGAAACAGTTTTGCTTTCAGCTCAGCAGGGGTCGACCCAAAAATTGTCACCTTGCTTACCGCTTGCTCGGTAAATGATTTCCAATGCTTTTTAAGGCTGTTTATGAAAACATCTGATTCAATCATGAAGTTTTTGTAGCTTTCGTTTTTTTTTATTTTGTTCAAGTTATTTTTGCAAGAAACTTTTCCAACTTAACATCTCATAGAATTTTTTGACTTGTCTTTCTTCCCATTCTTTTTTCCCATTCACAAAGCTCCATTTTGCCTCTGCGTTAATCATTTTCACTCATTTTTATAATTTACGGGAGTGAATCTCTATGAATGACAGTAAGTTAAGAAAAAAAATTGCGTGTAGATCTTAACCAGGGCGCAACAGCGGTCCTCCGTCAAGAGCTTTACAATTTTTATGTCGGTCTTTTCCCTTGTGGATAAATAGTCTTAATCTAAAATGTTCTTTATGTGATTGTGTTATGATTGTGATTGTGATTGTGATTGCTATTTCGGCTGCTATCGTGGAAGCAAAAAAAACGCGAAGAAATAAGATTAACGGATTATGCTTAGACATACTGCAAAGTCTTTTATGGATCGTCTGCAAATCTTACTAACGACAATAATCATAATAATCATATTTATAATTATAATCATAATCATAATAATCATAAAAATTATCATAAAAAGCATAATAATATTATTAACCTTAATAATTATTTTTTTAATATTAATAAAAATAGTCATAATAATAATAATAATATTAATAATAATCATAATGATAATAATCATAATCGTAATCATAATCATAATAATCATAATAAAAGTCATAATAATCATAATCATAATAATCATAAAATTAATAATACTAATCATAATAATCATAATAATAATGTGATTGTGTTATGATTCTTTATGTGATTATGTTATGATTTAGACAGGATTCCGATTAGACAGGTTGCAAAGCCTTTTATAGATCGTTTGCAAATCTTAGTAACAACAATAATCATAAAAATCATAATAGACATAATAAACAATAAACATAATAAACAAAACATAATAATCATAATGATAATTCTAACAATATATATTATTATTATTATGATTATTATTATGATTAAGATTATTATTATGATTGTTAAGATTATGATTATGATTGTGATTATTATCATTACTACTAATAATAGTCTTAATCATTATAATAATCGTAACAATCATAATGATAATCATAATCATAATCATAATAATCATAATAATAATCATAATCATTATAATCATAACCATAAAAATACTAATCATAATCATAACAATAATCATAATCGGCCCGTTTTTTCCAAATTTTGCCTGCGGCGCAGGAATTTTTGGCAAAAACGGTCTTTTTAAAGCTTTCAGAGAGCTCAGAAAATCAATTTGGTTGACCTAAAAAAAGGTCATAGACAAAATTTTCCAAAATTTTTTTTAAAAATCCGCCCCCTCGAGAAAATCCTAGATCCGCCCCTGATAAAAATCGCAATAACCATAATAATCATAGTAATCATAAAAATAATCATAGTATTAATCACAATCATAATAATAATCATAATAATACTCATAATCAAACGAAAATAACACAAGACTATAAACTAGTTCTTGAAGATGAAATCCTCCTTCATAAAATGTGATCGGAACCGTCTGCGCAGTTTGCACAGCAACCGATACTAACTTTTATTCAAAATTGACTTGCTAGCTCGAATATATGTAACATTCAAGTTAAGCTAAGTGTCGCTCATATTTATGAAACAGTAAATAGCACCCTTATGAAGTTGATTGATAAAAGCTCATTTAATTACTTTTTTTATTACCCTTTTACGAACGTTTCGTGGTATTTCTTTGTAGTATTTATTTGTTTTTTTTTGGTGATGTAGTTGGTGGAGACTAGTCAATTGATTTATCATAGCTTATTCGTGAGTTTATTTTTGTTACGAATTGAGTTTCAAAATAATTTCATTTTTTGCAAAAGGTTTTTGTTATATTTGGATCTTGTCTGCTGAAGTTAAATACTGCAAAAGAAGAAAAGTCGTTACAGAGGTACGAATTTCGCACGCAGTTAACATTTGAATTGCCTCTTTATATGGGTGAAAGTTGTGAACTAGGTACTATAGGGGGAGGGGGGATGGGAGGTAGTTAACCAGAACCCTTGACGCCTTTTGCTCTTATATTAAAATAATTTCGCGCTGACCAATTTTACAAACCATTCAATTTCCTGTAAAAGTTGAACTTTCCCAGAAAATTATGAAAACATCCAGCTTTGAGCACTCTTAAGGTTCACAGTTTCATTCCCATTTATGGCTTGCCGTGGATATTTGCCAGTAACCTATACCAGTAATAGGTATATGCCAGGAATAGCTGCCATAGTAACAGGTATATAGTAGGTTCAAAGCAAAATTTTTACACAAGTTTAAAGTGATTAAACAAGACAGAGTATCAATGTCTTGAACTTGACCTCTAAAATGTTTGGACAAGATTTAGTGTGTGAACCTCTCAAGTTTGATAAGCTTGTTTGATATCCAATTGCTAATAATCACAAATGATTCATAACCTAAATACTTCAGCCGGTATTGATTTTTGGTATACTAGACCTTCAATTGAATAATTTAGTTTTATATTTTAGATCTTCGGAAAACCTTGGATCACTTTTATCGAAACTTCATCATCAAATCAGCACAATCATTTGTAGCAAATCTTTGCTTTTCAAAGCTACTTCTTCAAAAATATCATTGAGATATTTATAACTTTGATTTACAACATAGTCATAACTAATTAGTTATTAAAAATGGATGCTGTAACTGGTGCATTAAACAAGGACTGGGAAAATGGACTCTGCAGTTGCTTCGGGGACTTCAAAGTGTGCATCATAACGATGCTGCTGCCTTGCTACACGGCGGGCAAGATAGGCGACAAGGTGCCAGGACTGTCCTGCATCACAGCCGGACTTCTCTTTCTCATTCCAGTGGTCAACTTGATCATAGCGTTTAAACTTAGAAGTGGGGTGAGTTTGAATTAGGCCTAATCAATCTAGTTCTTTTCTGTAATACGTATACGGCAACCTAAAATTGATCTTTTTCTTATTTAGAGAATATAATCATCTGAAAAAATAGAAGTTTGGTACCCCAAAACGAACAAAAATCTTAATTTTTAATAAAAACAGAAGCTCATTTAACAGTTCGGTTAACTTTGGGCCGTATAACAGAAAAGACCCATCAATCTTACAAATTATCTGGTACGCTATTCGATCGGCCTAATTTCTACAATATATGTTTTTAATTTGATTTCAATAATTATTACTATAACTGAAAGTTCAGTAATTTGTTAATTTACCAAGTCTGATTTTGAATAATTTTATTTAATTTTTTGCTCAATTGTTTTTGATTAAACAATTTCGGTTTATGATATATCGGTTTAGTCAAATTACATCGCTTAATTTTGAGGGCAAAAGTATCCTTAAGTCATTATGTATTTCAGTCGGGGTGGGTCGTAAAAAATTTTACGAAACAGTTTTGCTTTCAGCTCAGCAGGGGTCGACCCAAAAATTGTCACCTTGCTTACCGCTTGCTCGGTAAATGATTTCCAATGCTTTTTAAGGCTGTTTATGAAAACATCTGATTCAATCATGAAGTTTTTGTAGCTTTCGTTTTTTTTTATTTTGTTCAAGTTATTTTTGCAAGAAACTTTTCCAACTTAACATCTCATAGAATTTTTTGACTTGTCTTTCTTCCCATTCTTTTTTCCCATTCACAAAGCTCCATTTTGCCTCTGCGTTAATCATTTTCACTCATTTTTATAATTTACGGGAGTGAATCTCTATGAATGACAGTAAGTTAAGAAAAAAAATTGCGTGTAGATCTTAACCAGGGCGCAACAGCGGTCCTCCGTCAAGAGCTTTACAATTTTTATGTCGGTCTTTTCCCTTGTGGATAAATAGTCTTAATCTAAAATGTTCTTTATGTGATTGTGTTATGATTGTGATTGTGATTGTGATTGCTATTTCGGCTGCTATCGTGGAAGCAAAAAAAAACGCGAAGAAATAAGATTAACGGATTATGCTTAGACATACTGCAAAGTCTTTTATGGATCGTCTGCAAATCTTACTAACGACAATAATCATAATAATCATATTTATAATTATAATCATAATCATAATAATCATAAAAATTATCATAAAAAGCATAATAATATTATTAACCTTAATAATTATTTTTTTAATATTAATAAAAATAGTCATAATAATAATAATAATATTAATAATAATCATAATGATAATAATCATAATCGTAATCATAATCATAATAATCATAATAAAAGTCATAATAATCATAATCATAATAATCATAAAATTAATAATACTAATCATAATAATCATAATAATAATGTGATTGTGTTATGATTCTTTATGTGATTATGTTATGATTTAGACAGGATTCCGATTAGACAGGTTGCAAAGCCTTTTATAGATCGTTTGCAAATCTTAGTAACAACAATAATCATAAAAATCATAATAGACATAATAAACAATAAACATAATAAACAAAACATAATAATCATAATGATAATTCTAACAATATATATTATTATTATTATGATTATTATTATGATTAAGATTATTATTATGATTGTTAAGATTATGATTATGATTGTGATTATTATCATTACTACTAATAATAGTCTTAATCATTATAATAATCGTAACAATCATAATGATAATCATAATCATAATCATAATAATCATAATAATAATCATAATCATTATAATCATAACCATAAAAATACTAATCATAATCATAACAATAATCATAATCGGCCCGTTTTTTCCAAATTTTGCCTGCGGCGCAGGAATTTTTGGCAAAAACGGTCTTTTTAAAGCTTTCAGAGAGCTCAGAAAATCAATTTGGTTGACCTAAAAAAAGGTCATAGACAAAATTTTCCAAAATTTTTTTTAAAAATCCGCCCCCTCGAGAAAATCCTAGATCCGCCCCTGATAAAAATCGCAATAACCATAATAATCATAGTAATCATAAAAATAATCATAGTATTAATCACAATCATAATAATAATCATAATAATACTCATAATCAAAATCATAATCAAAATAATAATCATAATAAAAACAATCATAATAATAACCATAAAATTAATCATAAGAATATTATTAATAATCTTAATAATCATAGTAACTAATATTAATAATCATAATAATCATAAAAACAACCAAAATAATCATCATAATTATAAAAATAATCAAAATAGTAATCATAATCATGACAATAATCATAATAATAATCATAATAATAATATTAATCATACTAATAATCATAATCATGATAATCGTAATAAATCATAATAATCAAAAAAATCATAAAATTCATAATAATAAAACCAATAACAACAAAAATAATCACAATATTAATCATAATTATGATAATAATAATAATCATAATCATAATCATAATCATAATAATAATCATAATCATAATAATCATAATAATCATCATAATAATCATAAAAATAGTCATAATAATCAAAATCATAAAAATAACCATAATAATCATCATAATCATAATGATAATAATCATAATCATAATCATAATCATAATAATCATAAAAATCATCATAATAATCCTAATCATAATAATAGTAATAATAATCATAATAATCATAAAAATCATAATATTCATAATAATAATACCAATAATCACAGTAATAATCATAATTTTAATCATAATCATAATCATAATGTTAAAAATAATCATAATAATCATAATAATCATCATAATAATAATCATAATAATCATAATAAACATAATAATCATAATCATAATAATCATAATATTGATCATAATCATAATAATTGTAATCATAATCATAATAATCATGAAAATCATCATAATCATAATCATAATACCTTTAATCACAATAATAATCATAATATTAATCATAATCATACTCATAATAATAATCATAATAATAATAATCATAATAATACTCCTAATAATCATAATAATAATCATAATAATCATAATAAAAATCATAATAATCATAATCATAATCATAATCATAAACATAATAATAATCCTAATATTAATCTTAATCATGATAATCGTAATAATAATCATAATAATATTACCAATAATCACAATAATAATCATAATGGTAATCATAATCATAATAAAAATAATCATAATAATAATCCTAATAACAATGATAATGATCTTAATAATCATAATAATAATCATAATCATCAGAATAATCATAATAATCATAGTAACTAATATTAATAATCATAATAATCATAAAAACAACCATAATAATCATCATAATTATAAAATAATCAAAATAGTAATCATAATTATGACAATAATCATAATAATAATCATAATATTAATAATCGTAATAATAATCATAATAATCATAAAAATCATAAAAATTATAATAATAAAACCAATAACAACAATAATAATCATAAAATTAATCATAATTATAAAAATAATAATCATAATAATGATAATAATCATAATCATAATAATAATCATAATCATAATCACAATAATCATCATAATATTCATAAAAATAGTCATAATAATCAAAATCATAAAAATAACCATAATAATCATCATAATCATAATGATAATAATCATAACCGTAATCAAAATCAAAATAATCATAATAATCATCATAATAATCCTAATCATAATAATAGTAAAAATAATCACAATAATCATAAAAATCATAATAATCATAATAATAATACCAATAATCACAGTAATAATCATAATTTTAATCATAATCATAATATTAAAAATAATCATAAAAATCATAATAATAATCATAATGATAATCATAATAATCATAATAAACATAATAATCATAATCATAATAATCATAATATTAATCATAATTATAATAATCGTAATCATAATCATAATAATCATAAAAATCATAATAATCATAATCATAATACCATTAATCACAATAATAATCATAATATTAATCATAATCATAATCATAATAATAATCATAATAATAATAATCATTAAAATACTCCTAATAATAATGATAATAATCATAATAATCATAATAATAATCATAATAATCATAATAATCATAATCATAATCATAGTCATAATCATAATAATAATCATAAAAATAATCTTAATCATAATAATCGTAATAATAATCATAATAATATTACCAATAATCAAATAATAATCATAATATTAATCATAATCTTAATCATAATAATAATCATAATAATAATAATCATAATAATAATCATAATAATCATAATAATCATAATCATAATCATAATCATAATCATAATCATAATCATAATAATAATCATAATAATAATCTTAATCATAATAATCGTAATAATAATCATAATAATATTACCAATAATCACAATAATAATCATAATATTAATCATATTAATAATCATAATAATCATAATAATCATAATATTAATCATAATAATCATAATAATGATAATCATAATGATAATAATCATGATAATAATCATAATAATCACAATAATCATAAAATTATAATTGCAGATCAAGACAGTGAAGATGATCAATGAGGGGATGGTAGCCACATGCATCTACTCCATCTGCTGTCCCTGCTGTGCACTCATCCAGGAGGCCAGAGAACTGGGCGTGGAACTTCCCATGGCACGCGAATAGATTCAGATCCACCCAGTCAACATCAACAACTCAACAACAACATCAACAATAGTAATGACGAAACAACAACAAAAAACAGAAAAATTGTGAATCCTAATTGCTGAATCACACCGAGCAGATCGTAATCAAATTACTAAATTAAACTAAAAATTAAACAGACAGAGAACTTTCTAGTGATGCTAAATGCTCTGCACGAATTGGAAAAAAAACGCTTGATATTTATTTCTACAAAAAGGCTTTGAAAATTTTCAAAAATTAAATTGATGTTTCGTTTGCTACTTTTCTAAAACAAATTGATAAATTTACTAATCTATCTGGGTGCTTTTGGTTATTGGCGAATCTGTACAACTAAACACTCGGTGATTTCAGATTTGAATGTTCTTTTGCTTCATTTTGGTTTTAGAAAATATTGGTGATTATTAAATTCTTTGTGTGAAGACATAGTTTACAGAATTTTAAAAAACGTGTCGGTGCCATCTTTCTTTTTGAATATTGCACGGTCTCGTTGCGTCTTGCTACGCAACAATCCTTGAAAAAAAAACAGGAAAAATTAAGAAAACTTTAGACATTTTTTTTCTACAATAGGGGCACCCAGAAAAGCGTGTGTACGTATCGGAAACTTCGACCGCTACGGACTTATCACGGCTGTGACCTGTTTTCCACGTAATAATGGGATATCTATTGTACTTACTAATATTTAAACCAGTTTTTACAATATAAAAGACGTGTGAGTTTTACACCTCAATAGAGAGTTACGACTACGTACGAGAAGTTAAAACTACTATGCGGAATATACATATCCTGGAAAAAATTAAAACAAGAGTAATAGTTTTAACAACATCTGTTGCTGGGCGTTTAGATAAGCTTGGCCGTCACAAAACCCAGTATCACATTCGGCGGCAAAAAATTCGATTTCATAACTTGGCCTCGTTACCCGATCATGTGGCTCTATTCTTTCGGCATAGAAAAGCTAGATCACAAAGGAATCAAGAAAAGTACTTTCAGCAACTTTGGTGAAAATCGGAAAAACAAAGCAAAAATTTACCATAGTTCAACAAGACTGCTCGTATCAGGGCGAAGCCCTGAATGTTCCGACTGCCTATTAAGGTTTATGGAGCAGTAATAACATTAAAAATGTTTTTAAAAAAATGAAAATTTTTTTTTCTAAAATTTGAAACTTTTTATAAAAATCATCCCCCCACACGCAATATAAATACAAAAGGATAGATTTTGCTACTTGTAACAAATCAATTATGGCAAATAAGCTTCGTTAAACCAATTTGGAACGATTTCTAAGACGGATTATATCTCACTTACGCGTTAATAGCGCGAAATGGCAATTTTTAAACCCCCATAACTTTACGAAAAATGATCACAGGTGAAATATCTTTTCAAATTTGAGCTCAGGACAACAATACCTTTCGAATGGTATAAAAAAATTCCGTCAAAAATGGCTAGTTAAAAAGTCGAAATTTGTCTGAAGAAAAAAAAAACCACCCCGAGCACAAATATTCCGTTACCTTCGTATCGAAAGTCAGAACAATAACTTTGTGAACTATGTTGAGGCCGTATTAGTGTCAAAAGAGTAAGCTGTAAACGGAGGCTTTTTGGCATTCCAGCTTCGTGCCAATGCACGCCAACCCGGGCTGACCAAAACTTCTTATCATACAATTTCCATATTTCAGAAAACTCTTGTCATACAATTTCATGCGTACAGAAAACTTTATAAAATCTCTATGATAAAAGTTTTTCTATATGTAAACTGTAAAATAAGAAATTTCCCATATATGAAATTTGTATGACTAGAAGTTGGTCACAGGTTTTTTAGGCGAAATTTAAAATCGGAAAATGCTTACAAACCTGGCTGAAAGCGAAAAAGAAACAAGACTGCTCGTATCAGGGCGAAACCCTGAATGTTCCGACTGCCTTTTAAAGTTTATGGAGCTGTAATAACATTTAAAAATTCAATGAAATAAAACAAAATCAAAAAAAAATTCTAAAATTTGAAATTTTTTATGAAAGTGATCCCCCCACACGCCATACAAAGTACAAAAGGATAGATTTTGCTCCTTGTAACAAACCAATTATGGCACATAAGCTTCTTTTAACGAATTTGGAGCGATTTCTAAGACGGATTATATCTCACTTACGCGTTAATAGCGCGAAATATATCGCGCGTTAATTGTCCCAAATTGGCCAAAATGGCAACCTTTAAACCCCCGTAACTTTACGAAAAATGATCACAGGTGAAATATCTTTTCAAATTTGAGCTCAGGACAACAATACCTTTCGAATGGTATAAAAAAATTCCGTCAAAAATGGCTAGTTAAAAAGTCGAAATTTGTCTGAAAAAAAAACCCACCCCGAGCACAAATATTCCGTTACTTTCGTATCGAAAGTCGGAACAATGATCAAGAGCGAGATCACATAAAGAGGTAGCCAACAGGAAGATAGAAAATTTTTGTGATCGAAGATTAGTATACTTGCGTTTCCAAAATTGCCAGTATTTGGGCGTGGCTTCTCTTTCATTGTTGCTTCTCTTTCTTGTAAAATCACCACAACTACATAACCAACCAGTTCACTTTTTTCCATTTCACTCTTCGAGTTCAAACTCGAACTCAAAAGTTATTGAGTTTCTTGCATCCTCCACGCATCACCAGCTTCGAATTTAAAATTTCAAGTACTAAGCTGTGTATGGTATTAAATAAATTAAATACGCTGTTTATAAAATAAGCATTAATTAAATAGGCATTAATTAAATAGGCATTGATTATGAGCACATTCTTTTCACTTAAAGGGTGTGGCGTTGTGGCGTATCCGGTAGTGATGGTGCGCAGCAATCATATGATTGAGGGTTCATATCGCTCATGGGCTGAAATTTGCAGTTGATTTCGTGTAGCTTAGCAACAACCATGGTTTCATGATTGTTACAGTTGTAATACATACCTATAATATTGATCTCTGGATGAAACTTCTGGCTTGCTGACTTGAAAAAAGTCATGTCTTCAGCCGTAATGCTGCGTAAAACTACTTTACTTGTGTTCAAAGAAACATGTTTACGTTCAAATAAACGTTCATAGAAACCTGTTTACGTGGTAATAAAAAATTTGGGGCTCTTGTCCACTCCCCCACTTTTTAGATTTAGTATTGAAAATTTTTTTATTATCGTCGTAGTGCACAAATTTGGTGTTCATACTTTACATGGCAACATCAAGCATTTGGTTATTAAAAAAAAAACCAAAACTGAAGAACTGAGACGGCAGTTTATTGAATATCTTTTTGAGCCAATTTTTTTTATTAAAACATTTTATGGTACTATCACGCGTTTGGCCACATAAAAAGTGTAGAGTAAATGTGCTCGTGGTTTAAACATTGTCATGTTGTTTTGCTTTTTACCTTGAAAGTGAACCATAGAATCCACAAAACTTTAAAATCACTCCCTAGGGGCAATGAGTTTTTTACTAGGCTCTGAGAGGTTATAACTAACAGAGAGTCTTTTTTTCAAATGCCGTTTGCTCTATTTTCGAGAAAAACAAAACTAATCATAATAAATAATGAGGTTCCTGCGCATCGCAGGGGAGCTATCAGTAAGCCTTAATAGTCATGTCGAAAATAGTCCATTTGTATTATCTCCGTGCCTTCCAGAATGTGTTATTTTGTTGAGCGAAGCTCATTTTTGCGACTGAAGGCCGTTTTTTTGCGTCTAGAATTTTCACGTGGTAACACTATTGCAGCCGAAATTGGTCAGACTGTGGTAGACCTGAAGCTAGAGGTCAAGTGACAGCTCGTTCTCAGACCTTATCAATCCTAGAGGCGTTTAGCATAGTGGTAAGGCGTTCTCTTCGAGATCGTCAGATCGTGTAATCGATCCCCTGGCTTGGCAATGATAGTATGTGAGGACGAGCTCTCACTTGACCTCTAGCTCCAGGTCTATTACAGCCTCACCGATTACGGCTACAATAGTGGTACCACTTGAAAGCTCTTGACGCAAAAATAACGGTCTTGAGTCGCTAAAAAAAGAAAGAAAAAGAGCTTTGCTCAACAAAATAACTGCGTCTGGAGTGTGGGAAGTAAGAGAAACGAACTATGCTTACAGGCTAGAAAAAGCTTTTCATTGATCCTCTGCGAATCACAGAAACCACTCATCATCATCATGGGATCAAATGCACGATCTGACAATTTCAAAAAGAAAGCCTTACCACTATGCCTCTATATCAATTTTTGAATTTTTCTTCTGAATGATTGCGATCATGAAATGATTTTGGTTCCTTTAGAAAAACTTCACGTTCCAATCACGTTTTTTTTCACAAATCACTTATAACTTCAAGAATTTTGAAATTTCAATACCTTGAGCTCCTTATATCAGAACAAAATTCGTAAGGTTTTTATCTGGAAAACACCAGTTTAAACTTGTGTCCTTTTCTGTGAAATGATGTTTTATATAATTTTTTGGGCAATCTTTAATACTTTTTTTTTTACGAAACTGCAATATACATTGCAATCAGAGCTTCAAAAATTAAGAAATAAAGTTAGGTTTTAAAAAATTTAAGGATTTTTGCGATTTTTTTCAAACGCGATGAAGTACATGCCAACACGGACAAACTCAATCAAAAATTGAAACAATCGTTTTTTTTTTTCAAGTATTTTGTCTTTACTCGTAACTTTTTATGGTATTTGTTTTCTATTTTTCCAGCTGCGTTAGTTTTTTCCAAGTAAAAATAACAAAAATTTCGTTTCTTCAGATTAAAAGTTCAAAACATTCAGAACTAATTTGAACTTTCTTAATGCGAACCTATCTTGTGATAATTTTTTCATTCTAAAACGACCGAAAACTATAAATCACTGTTTAGCGTGGTCTCAACTTAGTTATAATGATGACAAAAATGAATTAGAAAAACATTTATCCAAAACTAATTGCAGATCCAAAGAGAGTTCTTCAGAAAAACGCACACTGCTCTTTTTCTTTTTCTCCACGTTTAAAAAATTACTATTTTGAAATTGTTGTTACTTTGTCGAAATGCGATTTGCTTCCGTGCGACGCCTCCGATCCCCCCTAGTGGCTGATGGACCCCCAACACACAGTAGGGAGCTTCAATTTTTTTGCTACACGGTTGAGGGATGTTAGAGGAAATAACTCCAAATTTGCTAAAAACAGCATTGTGACACAATTGAAATAACGAGGAAGTGGAAAAGAGCAAATCGAATAAAATACCATGTACATACAGTGAGAAAATATTAATTTTTTTTCGGGAACTTTTCAATCGAACTTTTTTCATTGGGCAATTGCAAACAACACTCAGTGTTCAATAATTCTTAACTATACAACAAAGCAGGAACAATTTCACTGTAATTTTGTGCTGGATAAAGTAATATATGGCTTTGAAAACTTTCGAAACGGCAAAGTTTCGATATTTCTCTGGAGAAAAAAAACAACTCAAACAAATGTTCACTTACTTTCCCGGATACTCGAAACAAAAAAGCAAAACAACAAAAAGTTCTTGCTTAATTTTATTACGGAAGTATCATCACAAGAAAAAACTAAAGGTATCCAGGCGAATTTTGGTAAGAAGT